TGTTATATCTTATTAACCCTTGATATTTAACCACGACTTCTTTCAGAAATCATAAATATCTTCAGATCACTTCTATAAAGAGAAATAATTGATATAGATATCAGTAGGGGCACAAAATACCTCAAGAGTTTTTAGAGTAATTTGTTACATACACGTACAGCAAAATACCAATGCTGTGACTTAAAACTGAAGTAAGGCCAGCCAAACAGTGTACATCCATGCTAACATTAGGTAAAGTGTACAAACCCTATCAGCACACCTAGTCTCTGATAGTATCTGATAAAAAACAGAAAAAACCCAGGAATAATAAATAGTACTGTCAGATTGTTTATAAACAATCTTTGTTTTACTAATTTAAGACACTCTGCCCTGCCGAGATACCTATGTTTTATTAAAATTCATTTAACAATTGTACTCAATTATTGAAATCAATTATAAAATAGGTTTCTCTAATAAGAAAGAAAATACCACCAAGTCCTTTGAGTTTTAACCTAGGATATATGCATAAATAAAAAGTCACCTACAATATTGACAACAGACTTCAAGGTATAGATAAATAAGTGCACAAGTACTTAGACAACTCTTATCATTTTGAGTCCCTAATACAACTGCTATCAAAGATTTCATCATAACAAACCTCCTTTTACATAACTTAAGAAAGAATAAGTTTATCCTAGTAAAAATACTAGTGTTTCCACATCATGTTGCCAGCGTTCCCCCTTCAACTCTCTCCCTTTATTCTGACAGCTAACCTATGATAGCACTTTGCCATCAGCATAGCTTAGATACAACGTTTCTTTTATAATGAATGAAACACAAATTTTGGAGTTGAAGACAGAATATTCAAGCCTAAAGCAAACACAGCCTAGAAAAACCTTAACCACCCTCAGGGACCCACCAATCATAGAAACCAAGAATAAAAAGTGTACATACTGGTGGAGGCTGTTTTTTTTTTTTTTTTTTTTGTACTGAAAAACATGCTGAAATTCTTTTAATTTTACATAAGACTCTGACACAAGGAGAGGGATCAGGAGATAATGATGGCTGGGGGTGGAGACAAATGAAAGAAAGTTGCAGTGAGGTTAAAGGTACCAGACTGGAAAAGGAAAATAAATAAAGCATTTTGTTGTATGGGAAGCCGCAATGACAATTGGGTTAAGTTAAAAACACCAACTTGCAAAAAATTACTACATGTTTACCAAATCTTATTATGGAAATGTTTAGAATAATAAACCTTACTGTATTATCCTATGCCCTCTGTCTCATAAATTCTTCCCAATCTCTGTTAATTTGAGGGCACACATTTCTTGAAAATTTTCTATTTATCATGAACTTGCACCCTGTTTACAGACAATATGCTTTGGAGCCCAGAAAGCTTATTAAATTATGGAAGTAAACTAAGGTCAGATAAAAAAATCTTAACTCCAAAGACACAAATTATACCATGTTAACTAGACAGTGATGATTTAAACAGAATGGTTAAATTTGATTTATAAAGATACTTATTTTCCATTTGGAAAGTTCCTTCAAAGAAATTTGAGGTACTCTCATAAAAATATGATTTTATTTAACAGCAGTATCATATTTATCCCCAATAGGGAAAAACAACTCCATTCATCATGGAAATTATATTACATGATATTTTATTTAACAGTGATTCAACCTATAGCAAAATTAAATGTAATTTACAAGTTATATTACATATGATTTGTGGAACATTGGTTAAGGCATTATTTTCCATAAAATAATTCAGTAAATAATGATTTGAATAACACATACATATGTGGAAAAGCATTTTATGAAGATATCAGAAAGTATTGCCTTAAAACTTAAACATAATAATTGTAAAGTATTACAATCTTTGTAGGTTAAATAACTTTGCCTGATAAACTTAATAAAAGGACTCAAATGATACCTTTATTTGATATTTGGAGCAGAAAATGAATAACACTTAAAAAGAGAACTTGATGATAAAGAAAAATTATACCAAATTATTCTCAGCTTTCAATTTCTACATTTGCCGATTTATATGACATCAGAAGCCACTTCAATATTCTGCACACTGGAGAGAACAATTTGAATTACATAAGAAAAAAATCATTTTGAAGTATCTCTTATGCTGGTTGGTAAAGGAGCACACACTGAAAATTATCCTATGAAATCTTTAAGACATTTTTGATCCAGACTCAGCTTGCAGAGAATTTGAGGCAAAATTCACAGTGGAAGATTGTATTGTGTACCAGAGATATATTCAGTTTAACCAACTGGAATGAGCAGTTTGATGAACTGTTAGATCATACAGATGTTAGTGAATTTATTTGTATTGAAGAAGTCATGGGAACCAAGTTATCCAGTGAGAGAACAGAATATTCTTCCACCAGATTTCAATTATTAAAGAAAGAAAACCATCATATTGGTTAGCATTGAACAATGGAAGATGCCTGCCTAAACTTCTGCAATTCTGACACAAAATCTTTTTTTTTCATTTTGACTTTTAAAAACTTCTTACAAACTCATACAAGAAAGAAATGAGGGTTATGCATATTATAAAAACATGAGTCCTGTCTTTTGGATCAAATGACTTCACTTATATGGGCTAATCTTGATGTATATCACAATGTGTACATATTATAAAGATAAGTAATATTGCTCATATTGTAAAGATATTCTTAAAAGTGGTGTTTATAGCATAAACTTTGTCTATAAATAATATCTATTTTAATTACTTTTGGTTTTTAGCCCACATAATTCTTAAAAATAAGTTTCTGTTTGCTTTTTAAAAAGGTGTCAGTGGTACATAAAGGCTAAGATGAAGTCAGAAGAGAAGAGAAGAAACCAGTTGCAGAATGGGCATTGTAAGTAATGTGGTGACTCTCTAGCATTATTTTTCACTGTTCCAGCACTTCAAGAGTTTATTTCAAACTTATATCCTTTGAGTTGAGGAAGCAAACAACAATAGCAACAACAAAAACACTTCTAAGCTTCTAGTTTTAAAGCTGTCATCTGGTTTCCAGGTTTGTTGGTAGAAATTGCACCTGCTTCTCATTAAATTGCATTACCTATTTCCCAGTTCTGCTTGCTGGAAAACACAACAGACTGAATTTGCTAAAAATATAAGTTGACTGATTATATCTAGTTATTTACTACTCACAATGGCTCCAGAATCAGCATCCATTTTATTTAGTAGCTGAGATACAGAGATATTAAGGGATCTTTACTCCTTCTGGTAGGGACTGTCATCATTTAAACATATAACAAAACAATTTATTATTCATCAGCTCTCTAAATTTTAGAATATGTAAGGAATCCTTGCACTGACTACACAGTTACACTCATTTGAGGATCTCTTCCCAAGCAAGCTGTAATTGCCACTATAGTTGGTTTGATAATTGCCATCTCTCCTCCCTAACACCCACCTCCACATCCACCTAAAAATTCCACACTGCTTTCAAGAGAATTTCTCTACCATGAGACACTGAATTAACAAGAAAGGGGTGTTTCTCCAATTAACTACAGTACAGAGATAATACAAGAAGCAATTCCTTTAACTATTTAAACTCATCTTTAATTTCAAAAAAAAAAAAGAAATAAGAAAAAACAAAAAGAATAAGGTACTTTCCAATCTATGTCCTTTTTCAAGAGAGAAAGGGCTTTAAGTCAGGATATTAAAAATCAGTGAGATGATTTAGGACTATTCCTAAGGCTAATGTGATTTTTTAGAGTATTCTATGGATCACCTGAAATAGAATGTTCACCCTGACTCCCCAAGGTTTGACTGGGAAGGTCCGGGTTAGGACTAAGACACATGCAGTTTTAGAAACTCTCACAGGTTGTTCTTTTTTACAATAAATTTGAGTCTCACTACTCTGTCAGAGCTGAGAGAGCCAATATCTGGCATGAGATGACCTGGAAACACTGTAAAACAGATTGCAGAAGCATGGATCCAGACACCTGGGCAGATGACTTACGCTGGGCAACCTTAAGATTCACTGCAGGACATTTAGTACTGAGATGCCAAGGGGAAAGGTGCTCCTAGGGTATTTATTATCTGTTTTCTAAGTACCAGTTTAGCATAAACTAAACCAGATGGGCACAGCAAGAAGCATTGAAAATAACGTGAGGCAGCCAAGGAGATAGGAAAAAAAAAAAAAACCTAAACTGATGTTAGAAGACAGGGTATAAGTTAAAATAGTTAGTAACTAGGAATGATGTTGGCCAAATTATAGTGTTATGTTCTGTGCATGTATGAATATGTAACAACAAACTTCACCATTATATAGAATTAAACTGTACCAATAAAAAATGTGAAAAAGTAATAAATCAGTTAGTAACCAGATAATGTAAAATCTAAACTAAGCTTGGTCATTTTTTTCCCTATATTACATACATTGTATTTACAAGAAAGAAAGTAATATTAACTAATCAGTGTATTCTATAGAAATGTGTGTCATCATAAATAATTGGTTTCATTATTAGAACTATGTGTGAGTTATTAAATAAGACTTGTTTTCTGTGCTTAAAGCGGTATTTTCAGCATGTCCGTATATCCAGTTAGATGCTGCTAATCATCTAATAGTAGCTACCAGATATGAGTTTACAGAACTCAATTATAAATCACAATTCTTACTGTTATAATAATATCCCAATGCCTTTGAAATGGAAGTAGAGATTCTGTTTTCCTTCCCTCCAATCTGAACTTTGAGAAGTATAAAAAGCATAGCATTTCCAAATCAGTGTCGGGTCTAAGTGTACTTGAAAATGTGCTTTTCTGGTGCTATTTGAGAAATACTAATATTTTTGTGAGTGAATATCAAGCACTAAGACAGTAGACAGGAGGTAATAAATGAAGGCAATGGGCATGAAGAATAAATGAAGCAAATTACTGCTAATAATAGCCATTCAGTCACCTCTTCTAAACTCACTTTGTTATCTTTTGTTTGAGATTTTCTTGCAAAAGCACGTTTCCAAGCAGCCCCAAACAATACTTAATTCTAGATTAATATGATTTTTAATCTAAGTAGTAACAAAACTGAGTACTATTCACTCTACCACAAATTTAGCTTTGGTCCTTTAATCCCTGTTATTTAGTAAAGACTTGATTATTACCTCGAGAACCATACAGAAGGTATCGAAAAGGTACACAAATACATAAGAAATGATCTGTACTCCAAGAGCAAGCAATCTAAAGCAGAAAACAGAAATCAATGACAAAACAGAAGGGTATTCACAGGCAGTCTGTGACTTCAGGCATTCACAAATGAACTGGCAGCCATGTGTTCACGTTTTCTAACCAGCCCTACTCATCCCAATTACTGGTGGGCTGTGAACACTCCATCCCCACCAGAGACACAGCAGCAGCTGTACCACCAATGACAAGATCTGGGCGCTTGGTGCCCACCCTTCCCACCAGGTTAGAGAAGCTAGCTGGTCCTTTGCAAGACATTAGCAGTCTGGCTGTGAAGGCAACTCAGAGTACACAGGAAAGGCCTGTATCAGTAGTGGCCCTTCCTGTCACTGACTTCTATTCTGTTCTATTGACAGAGTTTCTAGAAAACAGAGACCACAGTACAGGAGTAAACTTATTTTTGTTATGCTATTTCGTATAAATGTTTATAAGTTCACAAAAATCTAGTGTTTTTAAAGGACCCTATGGTGCTAGCTTATTGGGGGTGAGTAATGCCTCATTTCCCCACACTCTGACTAGAGAAGTATGAAATGTATGGGTCTTCTTCTAGTGGATGAGTAAGCTGATGTGTTTTCTTGGAACCATCAGTGATTCTATGAAACTACCCACTCATTTACACTGTATGGTAAATAAATGCAAGCAGTCCAAGCTTTAAAGGAGGGAAGAGAAGAAGGGAATCAGGAAAAGAGAAGAATTCATGTAACAAGACTAGACTGACTATTTCAGTACATGACTCCTCTTTTTACACATTCACAAGATGTATGACTACTAAAATATTCTTAAACTAAATCAATCTTTTATTTTTGTTGCAGTGCGTTTCCCAGGAGTTAAAACTTACATTGATCCAGATACCTATGAAGACCCATCCCTAGCAGTCCATGAATTTGCAAAAGAGATAGATCCTTCCAGAATTCGCATCGAAAGAGTTATTGGAGCAGGTAAACGCAAAATCTATACTTTTGAATATGTGATGGCTTAATGGCTTTGTAACTGATTAACAACATAACATTTTAAATTTGAATATTTTGGTCATTTAAAAATTTTAAGGAGGAAAATTATATTTGTTATGCTATTTCTTTAAAGTATAAATCTCCATTTTTAGTTTCCAACAACAAGAAGTTTCACAAAAGTTATTTTTAACATCCTATAGTCTTCTCTCATAAGGAAGATAAATTACAGTGAAACTAGAGTGCTTCCGGAATTTATTTTGAAAATGCAATTTCAGGAGTTTGTCATAGGTTATTATAGATTTACTTAAGCCTCAACATTTATAGACTCCCACTGTAATTAATATTCATAATGATGACCTTGAGGCTCTTCAAGACTCAGAAGTGTTCTGAGAATCACTGAAGGTAAAATTCGGTTCAATATAGTTTTATATCATTTAAGGTAAATTGATAATTCTTCCTATGTAGACTATTCCAATACTCTGAATAGTAATTCAGCTGTTCTAGGTAAATGCAAATTAAGTATAAATCAGCCCACAAGTATTTATGTTGTATCTTGATTATGCCAGAGCTAAGCTTAAATGATAAAGGCTCTCAAGAATAAAGGCTGACTCCTCTTTCAAGTCCTTGACCCAAAGTGAGTAGTCAATGCTAGCAGAGGAGCCCTAGTTCTGAAGGTCTTGCAGGGACCCCAGTTCCTTTACTCCTTCCTCTGCCTTCCCTAATATGGTCAAAGACCTTCCACCTTAGAGGAAGGATAAAGAGTTCAGTCTCTTCATCTTTGTCTTTGAGGCAGTATCCTGGAAATTGGAAATACATCTATTCACATCTCAATGGTTCAAATGCACATATAATCAAATGGATACACACTAGATAGTTTGGAAATATAATCACTGACAAAGCAACTATGGATGCAGCTGAAGAGGTTGTAGAATGCACAGAATGTCTTCATAAAATAGAGAAGGGAGACTGGATCTTGAAGGGGAGTATAGATTTTTTCAAAACCTGAATAGGAGTTATCCTTTGAAGAAAATAGAGTATACCCAAGTGGGGTCATTCCAACCAGCTTTCAGGTCTTTGCAAAGGCCAAAAGAAAGCAATTTTCCCCTTTTAAAGCCCTTCTCCCTCAGAAGGTCAGGTTACATAATTTGCAGCATCCAGTGCAAAGGGAAAATGCAGAGTCTCTTGTTGGAACATTAAGAATTTTAAGATATTGACAACAGCACATTAAACTTACTGTAGGGTTCCTCTGAACTCATACATCACCTGCTCATGAATGAAACCAAATTTCTTAGGTACTAGCACTACCTCAAGAATTCCTAGGACTTTGGGAGAGAGTTCTCCTTGAGTTGTTGCATTCTGTATGCAAAAGTGGATAGCCTTATATCCTGCATGACCAGACAGATGTTCCTCTGAGTGCTGACACAGGGGTCCTGTATATTTGATCCTCATGCTCTCTGCCAAAGAGGCTGCCATATCAGAAAGATTAAAGACCCAGAATAGAACCAGTTTCTCCATTTACTTCTTCAGCTGAACAAAGAGCACCAGTAGGCATAATTGCAAAGAGTGACTGCATTAAATTCATTTTGTTTGGGGAGGTTGTTTTATTTAGACAGTAGAATGGAAAGGAGAGTGAATAGTTTCCATTGTACACTATATTTGTCTTTCTTCTTCTAACCCCTTGGAAAAGTGACATGGCCTTTCATCCACATGGTTCAGTACTCATATAGTATAGTAGAAGCATTTTCTATTGTAACACTTTGTCAATAAATTAAAAATCAGTGTCTGAAGTCATAATGTTGAAAGGAAAAAATCAATTATTGAAGTAAAAATGATATAAAGAAATTAAACTTTTCTTCCAGTTTTGGGGTTTTTCTCCTAATCAAAATATAAATACTGCCCCCACAGAAAAAGGTGAAACAGATTCTACAAAAAAAACTACTAAAGGGACTATCTTAATATTATATTTACCAGTATTTCCCGATCTTGAGTTATATGGGACATCACTCATTTGGCAAAGACAGAATATTGAAACTATGTAGTCAGGCCTGAGTGTTAGTGTCTCTTTTTAAAATTTGTATTCATCTTTGACTATTTCAACTTTCAAACAATATACTAAGAGTCCTTTTACTGTCTATCTTTGAAATAAAAGCACTCTATAAGACAAAGCTGTTGTAACCTAGGGTTCGTCTTTGTGCTACTCCTAGTACTAGGTAATTCCATTAGTGTGTCTGTCCAAACCTCTGCATGTGGAAACTCTGGTGGATGCCAGGACATTTCCCACAGTGGCTGTTACGTAGGAAGCATTCTTGGTGTAGGGATGCAAAAGGTGTGATGCTTTTCCTCACTCATCATAAGGGCCACAGCTATTTGTACACTTAGGATAGATGAAACAAGGATATCCATGTAGAAATGTGTTTGGAGGAAGGCTATTATAATAGACTAAAGAGGGAAGCCCAGCAAGGCTTCTCTATTCAGATTCCCCTTGGCTCTTCTATGGCATTCCTTCCCCCCCAGTGGGGGGCAGGAACCCTCTGGAATGAGGGTCTTATGATCTGTCAGGTAGGTTAGAGAATTTCTGTGCAACAGCTCCTGCACAGAAAGGTGGGAAAAGGTTAGAGTAATAAATCTAGTTTGCCTAACTCATTTTGGGGAAGAGGAATTCTTGTTCCTAGAACCATTCTGAAAAGCCCTTGCAATGTCTTTCAGTATGGCATGCCAATGTGCCATATTTCAGGGTATGATTTTCTGAGTCCCAAAACCACTTAATTTGTAGAAAAACTAATAGTTTTGTAACATCCATGGCACATTTCCCTAACTTTAAATATTTTCCTTAGGTTGTCTTCTGTCCTCTATTTTTTTCCCACCGTTACTGATTGTTTCTTCCTAGATTCCATTTCCACATCATCTGGGTGCATTAGGTAGTTTTTTGCAAATGTAAATTAAATGATTTATGTGACATAGTAGATGCTGGCTAGAAGTGTGTTGGGCAGGAGAGATAGGAGAGGCCAGTTCCTCAGGTCCTGACAGCTGTTAGGAGAAAGCTACTCAAACAGGATTAGAGGACTGAGAGTGGGAATGAGTCAGTCAAGTCACAATTCATTGTCTAAGAAAAATCTACCAGATCTGCATGGTTTTTTGGGCAAAGAAACTGTTATGTATTCTTTCCGTGTTTCTAGTTGGGAGACACAATATACAATCATTGGTATTTCCTAAATGAGTTATAAAAAAAAAAGAAGAATGTAAAAATAACACATTAATATTTTCAGAAAGAAAAGAGCATGGGAAATGATATTACATTTGGCCCATGAGATTTCAGGACACAGTCACTGAACAATGTTTATGAGAAGGATAATACTTATAAAAGACAAGGTGCTAATTAGCTTTGTCATATGAAGTCACTGGGCTCATCAGACACATATATATTCAGCCTGTCTTCTCTAACCTTTATCCTGGGAATTTTCAACTTTGTAACCGTCCAAATACTATGCAACTAAACCTTAGAGAACTTAATTTATCGGTATGAAAATATATACAGATAAATATATATACTTTTAATATTGCCTATCTTTCACTGTAAGTTTCACTGTTTTTTTATGAGTTTGCTAGGACTTGCCCCCCCCCATATCACTATTCTATTTAAAAGTGGCAGCTTATCTTTGTTCATCAAAATAGGCCTGAATTTCCATGAAAATGCACATTTCCATTTAAATGAAGTGAGCATCTCTGTTGCATAGGAGACTATCAAGATCATCTATCTCCTTTGACTTTTTTGCATCATAAAATGAAATACTGTGGGCAGAGGGCTTTAAAACAGAAATTCTCACGCTAAAATAGCCAAGTCAGATTAGGGTAGAATCATTATTTTACACATATCTTAAGAGATAATGAGGAAATTGGTAAACTGAATTTTAATCATGGTCCGGAAAAGGTCATTGAAAGGCTATCCCTTTTTCAGAGTAGTACTGATCCTACACCATTGTAAGAAAATCTTGCCTAGCAGAGTGTCTATAATTTTGAAACATTATACCATTGAAAAAAATCATTCTTGTGTTTCTAAGCCCATAGGGTGACCTTTTTTAGATTTGACCTTCCCTAGTCTCAATGGAAATGCATAATATCTTCACTGTCATTCATATTCTATCCCTTTATCTATACAAAACTTGTTATTGCCTCTGCTATCAGCCTTTTCTGCTAGCTTAGTGTCACCATATTTTTTTCTCTTCCAGAAAATAGTCTAGAAAGTTTAACTCTTGGTTTCTCAGCAGTCACATGCAGGTGAAAAAAAGCTGAACGGACAATAAAAAGGACATAAGATCAACAGGGTGATGTATTCAGCCTAGTATTTTTATTCTGTAGTTGCCTTCTCATTTGAGGTCGCATTTTCCCTTGATGAAGTACAAGACAACATGTAAACTATTGTGCTTCTTCTAATTCCCCTGTCACCCCAACCCAGCAGTCTTCTTTCTTTAGAATGTAGTTCTAGATTATCTTAATTAACCCAGTTATTTTAAAGAATCTCCTTTTTTTATATCTGTCCCTCTTTTATTATACTTTCCTGCAACACAACAAGAAATGTAAACAGTATCCCAAATGTGGTTTCCCAATTCTCTTTTTACAAAAAGAAATTTGTGTGATGATCTATTTCCCCTGGATTTAGATGAGATAGTATTTCTTACATGCTTTGTTCTTGTTTATCTATTTAAAGAATTTATGATAAAAGTCTGATTGATTTCTTTCTTTCTTTTTTTTTTGGTATTCCTCAACACTTCTTGGCATAATCAATAAACTAAAGGATACATTTTGCAACAAATTCTGGTAATGCTTTTGTGCCTTTTACTCAGTAATTTTGTAACATTCTAAATCAGATGATATAATGAAAGATTGGCTTTACATCAATAAAAAAGACATAGATGAAAGCAAGACAAAGTCAGGTTGGACTCACAGCTTTGCTATTAACTCATTCTGTGACCTTCAGTAATTTAGTCATC